AGGAAAAATGCAAAAAACTTGGAAGAAGAGATGCAACTGAACTATCCAAAAGTTCACCTCTTGGCATATCATTGACTAGATGTTTGTTATTATTTGCCATCAAGTCAACTTTGACTTATACCGATCCTGGGAATGAGAGGCCTCCAATAGCCCTGGTCATCATCAACTTCTCTGGTCTTGCAAACTGGCTCCCATTTCTATCGTACTATTCTTTAAAATCATAAGCTGCTCTGAGTCCCAATTTTGGGGGAAAAGCAAGATAATAATAATAATAATAATAATAATAATAATAATAATAATAATAATAGCCTATTTTATTTTTTCTAGACAAGAGGAAATGGTGCTGAAATGCTAGCAATAGGAGCAGCGCAACACTGCAAAAGCTAACAAGTAGATATTGCTTTTTTCTTTCTTTCATGGTGCCTGCTGTCCTCTCCAGCCAGGCATGCAAAATAATAAAATTGTTAAGCTACCTTTTGCTCTGGATTTTGCAGGAAAATCTGGAGCGCTCCAGAGCAACTCCAGGCAACTGTTTGCACATGGATAGATCGCTGTACCACCTGGTGCCACTGCCGCTGGTGTGAGTTACTCCCTCTGAGGTCACAACAAGGTGGCCGGCCATGTCATCAATATATCACCTCATATAATCAATAATCAATCACCTTGTTTTGGACCTCAAAGGGATTGACTTGCACCAATGGTGGTGGCACTTTGGGATGCATGTGTAGGCAGCTGCCTGGCATAGCTCTAGAGAGCAGAAGGAGAAGAAGAAATTCAAGGTAGCCCTGGGGCCAGAATAATCTGGGATCAGCCCATATTCTGGCCACTGTAGACCCACCCCAGGTCCCAGATTTTGGCTTGGAAATTTCAGGACCTGAGACGATCCCAAACTGGCAAACCTTGTTAGAGAGTATGAACTACTTGTGGCTTTTTTCTTGTTCCTTCCTACTGATAGTGGAGACAAGTCATGGAAGCAAAGGATTCTGTGCACAGTAGCTATTTAATATATACCGTATTTTCCTGCGTATAAGACTACTTTTTTACCTGCAAATTCTGTGGCTAAAGTGGGGGGGTCGTCTTATACGCTGGATATAAGGTAATGAGGATAGGGGTGCTAAAACTCTATATTTTGACTGGAAAAATGGGGGGACCTCTTATACGCCGGGTCGTCTTATATGCCAGAAAATACAGTATATATATTTAAAGTCAAATTTCCTTGAATTTCCCCCCTCTCTTTAAAAAAAAATGCTTTCATCTAATGGAGGAATCAGGCTTTAGGGCTTTATTCTTGGTTACCTAGCAACTTTGTTTGCTTCTTGTTCATGGACGGCATGCTTACTTTTCTGATCCTAACGTCACCAAATCGTCGTCATTTAAAAAAATCTCATCTCTCTGTGTGTGTTTATGTATTGCAACAGCCCAGCCTTTTGAACTGTCCCAAGACATACAAATGGCATCAAATTGCCACTCTGCAGCCAAGCTTTCTTTTAAGTTTGTTTTTTAAAGGGATCAAAGAGCTCCTTCTGGGTTAGATATAATCAGGGACTCTCATAGACTGCTCAAGAAGACTCAACAAGTTGAGCCTTTCAAAGGATAACTGTTCGCCTCTCTTCCGTTGCAAAAACAGATTGATTCTGGTGCTTTTGCAACTGGAGACGTGAGGCTTACAAATGTATTTATTTAATTTAATTTCCTAGAAAGGGCAGGATCTGTCTCTTTCTCCTGCTACGTAGGCCTTCAAGGCACCCTCTTCAACGTTTCCTCTGTCAAAACTGGGATGCATATGGGATGCAGCGTGGAGATGGCAACAATATTAATGAAGGAGAACATACCAGCTAGGAAAGACTGCAGGAGTTTGCTTTTGCCTGAGCCTCCTGCGATGGACAAGATTATTCCTCCCTGCTCCCTGCTGCTGAGTTAACTGAGTACAAACTATTTTTGCATGTTGGACTCAGATTTTCAGCATCTGAAGAAAGCTGAGGACAAAGGAGGAAAGTGGGAGGAGAAGACAGAAACTGGGACATTTCAAAAACAGCTATTATTATTATTATTATTATTATTATTATTATTATTATTATTATGGCAGAGGGGTAATTGGGACTGTCCCTCCCAAACTGGCAAAGCAGAAGGGTATGTCAATGCACTTCTTTCTGGGTTCTAAGGGGCCAACTATTATTGAATGTTGCAAACACAGCTGCAGTTTAAATTTCAATATACACTCATCCCTCCCGATTTGCAGGGGATCCGTTCCAGAAACACACACCTCCACAAATCAGAAATACCACATCTATTGAAGTCCCATATGGTGTAATGGCTGTGTACTCCTGCATGTAGTTCTGGCGCACACACCATTTTGTCCTTCAGTGCTTGCTGTCCGCAAAAGACCAAAGGATGTGAACGGCAAGGGACAAGTGTGTGTGTGTGTGTGTGTGTGTGTATATATATATATATATATTCCATATAATCATGAATTTGTTAGGAATGCCAGAGGTGTGAGATATGGAAATCTAATTTCCAAGTTTTCATCAAGTTCAACCCCTGGCCATGCTAAAATCTGCAGCCAAAGCAGTCATGAAAGATGCACAACCTCTGTTTAAATGCTTCCAATGAAGGAAAGTCCTCCACTTTCTGAGACAGTCTATTCCCCAGTTTTTGGCAAGAGAAAATTCTTCGTAGCTGGAATCTCTTTTCTTGGTGTTTGAGGCCACTGGTATGATGTCCGATCAGATGTTTAAAGATGTCTACCTTATCGCCTCTCAAGTCATCTCTTCTCTGAACTAAACAAGTCCAGCTCTCTGAGACATTCCTCAGAATATTTAAATATATTATTATTCTTCCTCGATATATATGCGCACACAGACACACAAATGCACAGAGTGGGAGAAATATTCACAGCGGTTGGCAGTCTCTCAGCACTGTTTAATGTTCATATAAATGTGCCCTCGTGTGGAGAGGAAAAGGCATAACAATAATTTTTAAATTTTAATTCCATTTTGGTAGATGACATCTGGGCTTTTGCCAGTCTTCTGGCACTTCCCCACCACCTATTATTGTCTCGCATCCATACTTGCCCTTATTTAGGATAGACCCATTGGAAACAACATGAAAAATTAATCCTAACTAATTTTTCATCCCATTCATTTCTTAGTCTGGCTAATGCCTGGCTGCGTCTCATTATTTAGAATTTATTCCTATTTAGAAGTTATAGAGAACACTTTTAAGAGTCCATGTGCTTCCCACATGCTATTTCACTAATCCTTACACCAAACATATATAGTAGAATTCCTACGTTGCAAATGGTGGTGGGTGCGAAGCAGTTGGTATCTAAGGCTGCATCCGCATTGCAGAAATAATCCAGTTCGAGACCACTTTAACTACCATGGCTCAGTGCTATGGAATTCTGGGAATTATAGTTTGTTGTGGCACCAAAGCTCTCTGACAGAGAAGGCTAAATGTCTCACTAAATTACAATTCCCAGAATTCCATAGCATTGAGCCATAGCAGTTAAAATGGTATCAAATTGGATTACTTCTGCAGTGTGGATGCATCCTAAGAATTGTTTTCCATGTCCTCAGTAGTCTTTGGAAAGTATGGTTAGGAAATGCATTAGGCAATGGGCTTGAGATGGGGGTTTGCAGGAAGTAGGAGCTTTCTGTACAGCAAATGTAAAGTATGGCTTCCACCAGATGAGAGGCAGGCAAAAAGCAGTGAGATAGAAGTATTGTTCAAAGGAGGAAAACCATTTTCAGATCTGTAATATTGATGAAGTTGGGCCAGTGAGTAATTCATTAAAATATACAAACTGCAGTCGAGTCGAGTCGAGTCAGTGTGTCATTTATGGCCAAGTCGAGTCCAAGTCAAGTCATTGAAGCAAGTTGAGTCCAACTTGAGTCCAAGTCAATTGACTCAAGTCTACATCACTGCTAAATACCATTGAGGCATCCAAAGAAATGGGGACAAGCCAAATAGTCAAGGGAATGTGAAGACTGCAAAGATAAGAGATCTTGGTGCAGGCATTTTTCACCATCTTGCACTCTGCATTGCAAGAAATTTGGAGTACTGGAGAAAAATTTTATGGAGGGGCAGAATTCTTCATGGGGAGTAATGCCCTCAAGGTCCTCTATAGATAACCCAAAATCTGCTGCCTTATTCCCTTAGCCTGTTCTACAGACCATTCATTTCTGGAACATTCCCCAAGTCAGGTCTATGCTGCGTGAGAGTTTCCCATCGAAAACCTGATGAAATTTCTTGTGGGTTATGGAGTTTTGCACTCTTTTAATGGTAATGGATCATTTTAAATGCATTGATGGATCTATTAAACAAATTGAGCATGAGCGTCTGGGAGAAGAGGATTATGAGGAGAAACAATTACGCACTTAAACAAGGACAAAGAACACGGAAGACCTCTTTAAAGTTATCAGCCTCTGTTTAAGGGTGCGTGTTTTGAAAAGGTTGGAGGAGAGGTTAGTTTAATCAAATTGCTCATCAGCCAAGTTTTGGGAACGTTTTGTAATAGGCAAAATTGGCATTGCAGCCTTCTGTGGGCAACACTGGTGTGTGTGTGTTGCATAATTAAAAGACTCTTCTAGGAACGATGCTAGAATCCGTATTTATGAGAAGGCAGTAGCAAAAGAGAGAAACCATATTATGGATAGATTCAATAAGGAAAGTCACGGTTGCCCTGAGTTTGCAAGACTTGAGTGGTGGTGTTGTGTGGTGTTTCAGTGACCCTAAGGTGGACCTGTCACAGGGTTTTCTGGGCAAGATTGTTTCCAGAGGAGGTT